TCGCGTAATGGCAGTTTCACGTCCATTCTACGTACGTTTCAAATCTACACTAGTGTAAATAGCTTTATTATAGAAATTGTTACAAATAGCAAAGCTATACCACAATTGATATGCATAGCTAATGTGCTAAGTTTAATTTACTAGTGGTGTAAAGTTCGTTTACATCTTTAGGAATGTATTTTTGTCAATGTTTAATTCCATTTGGGGTACTGGAAGATTGAATCTAAGTAAAAGCATTGGATAGAGTAAAGATGAATAGTGCCTTGACATGAAAAACATGGTGATATTGGTGTTGAGGTTGAGCAAAATCGAATATAGGAGTTCCTCCTTCCTTTGACCATTGGTAATATGGGGATATAGAAGGGCGTAGCCAAGCTTTAGCTTAAGTGACAAAATATTGCCAAGAAATAATACCTCATTTGACCATAGATGTACGATAAATACTTGATTACAATAGAATTTATATAAAATCATTTGAGATCAGGCTATGCCCCGTTATTCTTTAAATTTATACATTTATAAAATAAATGACATGTCAAACATTCCTTTGAAAATTGAATTTTAAGCTTGCTGTTTGGCTGAAACTGCATGATATTATAATAACATTAATATTAAATAATACAATGACCATATTCATTTTATAATGCTAATTGAAAATAGAAAAGAAAGTACCCTATGTACAGGGTATGGCAGGCCTTTCCCTGAATGTTCCATCCACTGTTTGCTTCTATATTTTTGAAAACTTTATGATAATTATGAAGAAACTAGCATTTTTTTGTGTACACCTACTTTATATTTTGTATTCTCACCGTAATATTATACATTTACGGATTGTGCTGTGCACCTTTAATTATGTTGGTGTTAAAATATGTTTGTTATGCAATCGGTTAATCAATACGATGTTTAAACATTACATCACTGAGTTACATAAGCGAGGGTAAGAAATATACTATACGGTTTACGCTAAGTACACATAAAACATGCCGGGATGAAATATTGTAATAAGTATTTAATATTCATAATATTTATAGTTTCATCTATTATAAAGATATATGTATTAAATTTGCTTACAGTGAAATATAATTCTAAGAAAATTTATACGCAATTACTGTGTGGTATTTTTAAAATCCTGACTCATATTTCGAATATGTAAACAAAAATTTTATGTAAGTACACAATTAATAAAAATAAATGGAACAGTTTTATGTTAATCCAGTCATAAAAATTTCAAACTTTCATTTTGAGTTTCCATATATTATGTACATGTAGCCTTATCATATTCTTGAAGCCAATTCGTGGAATTCAAAATTATACTAAACTAGCTTGCCAGGCAAACGTTCTGCCTTTTTCGACGACACTGTCATGTCATGCCCTATTAAAAAGCCTTATATTCGCAAAAAAATTGTGGGTCACTCTAGGACAAAAAAACTATCCTATCTCTCAAGTTGGACCAAATTGCACGCGGTGTGCAAATTTGATTAAAATCGGTTTAGTAGTTTAGTATTCCAATGCGGACAAACAACGTGACACGTAATTTATATATACTAAGATGTATTTATATATTATTGCATTTCCTGTTACAAGCGAACTTGGCCTTTAGGCATTCTCTTGCAGTCAATCCATACATTTTACCCAATCATAATTTTAGCTTAAAATGTTTACACCTTACTTTGTGCATTGTTCCTTAATTAAGTTCTTTTTTTGCATATTTAAGGGGAAGTTTTACAATGGAGAAGATAACCAATTTTTGATTTATATGCCAAAAAATTCTACAAAAAATTACGAGAATAACTGTGTTTTTAATTTTTTTTTCTATTTTCAAAACTGACCGAGATATAAAGGCGCAAAGTTAACATTTTCGGTCTAAGCCGCGGGCCGAGCGCGACATCGTTGATGACGTCACGATTTCCATCTTCGTGCAAGCGGCCCGACGCGCACTTAGAAAATCAAAATATTTACTCAAATGTGCCCGTCGCGCGCGGATCTATTTGCTATCTAACAAGAAACATTATAGAACATGACACCATCTATTAAATATTGTGCTGTGCCTCAATGTAAAAATACGGCCACAAAAACACCTGAAAAGTTGTTTTTTAATGTGCCTAGTAACCCTAACATCAGAAAAATAGGACAAATGCTATGAGAAGAGCACATCCTTTAGGACCAAACATGGTAGCATATTGTTGTGAGGATCATTTGGATGTAAGTATTCAAATAATAATAATCACATGATATCTCTTGGTTATTGCTAGTAAATGCTTTCTATTGGGCATGTACCTACTCGAGTCGCAGTGTTTAAGTAACTAACAATTCATTGAACCTTTCCACGCTTAGTGATCATTATAATTTCGAGAAGAAACAATACCTAATACCTACATATTTAACTAAAACTACTTCAGTGTAAATAAACATCCAAACTTGGGTAAAGTAACCTATGTAATGTAGATAAGTCAATGGACCTGTCGTGAGTTTGTAAGTTTAGATACCTACCTATGTTTGCAGCAAATTTTAAAATGTTTATAATGCATATAAAGGTTAAAATATGGAATATGTTAGCAAACGTTTTTATATTTTTACGATATTTCGAGCAAAAACTAAACAAATCGCAGAGCTGTTCAACATGCATAATTTGCGGGCCGCAAATAATGGAAGAAGTTTGATTAAGAAGTGGAGCACTTAAATTTTTTTTCGTAAAAATAGGACAACCTATTTTTATCTATTACATAGTTGGTACATATTTTAAATATTGATGGAATACACATTACGAGGTTCCTTATTTTTATAGACTTTAAATAAGTTTGTATTTTGTTCTAGGTCGAAAACGATATGGAAAACTACGTGAAGTACAAACTAGTTGGTGGTCCCCTCAAACTTACAAAAGATGTTTTGCCTCACAAGTTTGCTTGTCAAAATCGGTGTACAGAAAAACCACAAAGATGTTTACTATCAAAACTAAATGCCAAATCTAGGTCAGAAACGGTTGCACATGCGATTGCCACTACTTCACAAGAAATTGAGCATAGATATGTTGTCGATCATGTTACTACTCTAGATGATAATATTGACATTGATCCCTTGCCTGAAGAATATATAACTACGTTTTTAATCATAATAATAATGCGACCCCTTTTCTATTAATATTGAAAACATCGGATTTTTAGATAAAATCATATTTTTATACACCGAAGGTATATTTGTAATAAATTTCTTTATAAACAACAGGAATTTTTTTTTACCATAAAAACCACAAAAAGGTCAGGGTGCACTTAAGAAGAATAAGAAAACAAAACTAGTTAGAGGCAGATAGTAAGTAGGTAGGTAAGAAATGTTTACGTATTTTTCAATTAGCAAATTAAATTATGATTAGAAATAATTATTAGAAGTATTAATATATTAATACTCATGGACAAAACCCAGTATTAATGTAATAATGGGACCAGGTGACAAAATCTTTGTTTCTTACAAAATATTCCGCCATCATCATGTCACGGACTATTGGAAGGTTGTCAGAAACCCTTCTTCCATCATCAAATATTCAAAAACACCAGAGCGCGAGGGCAAACAACTCACCCGCGAAATATTTTATAAAAACGTATGATCGGCGCACTGTAACGGTATGGCGGCGCGGCCGCATGGAATCGATGACGTCAGGCGCTACTCGCGGGCACGGGCGAGATTTTAAAAATCTACGTAAACTTTCCACGCCTATAACTTCAGTAATAATGCACCGATCGGTGTGAAATAAAAACTAGAATTATGTGTTTGGTCTAGACTTTTTACCTACGTACTTAAAAGTAATACTGTAACCTTGTTATCTTCTCCATTGCGGTTTTTTTTTATTTGTAGTGGTATGGTAATGGTGTGTAAATGTTTTCATAAAAAGGGTGTTCGGGTACTGGTTTTGTTGGTGACTCAGCAATGTGTGGCAAAGCCAATTGAAAATATTTATATTTAATATAAAGTTATGTCTCAGTGTTTTATTTTGCATAAAGTATGGTGCATGTTTATATTGTCCGGTATTCTTAACAGTGTACACATGGGCAAAATAAGAAAACTCGGTATGAGTGCAAGTACGATTTTGGTTTTCTATATATCATTGAAATTTTGGTGTTGAAACCGTATTGTATTTATTGTTTAATTGACCTGTCCAATTTTATTTAAAATATTAAATTTTTCGATATAAAATTGTTACATTTTATGCATTTAAGGGAAATCTTTATTCTTGGCACCATGTGTAGTTTTTATTTATAATAGTCTATGTTTGATTAAAAAGGAATGTAGTTTAAATGGAACAGCATTTTTGTGTTTTTTTACTTTCGAATTAAGCATTTTACGACTATTAAATAGCTCGTTTAACTGCAATTCAATAGATATTATGTATAGATGCTATGTTTTTTTTACCCAAAATGTATTTGATATTAAACAACATTATAAATAAAATAGTGTTTTTATTTTGTTACTTATTTTCAAGACACATTTGGCTTAGAGCCTTATAAAAACTCAATAAAAATTTAGCATTACATGCATTAATTAGCTATCAAGTTTTAACAATTCTGTGTTGTTTTTGACCAGGGATAAACCAGTTCCAGATTTCGATACATTTCATTGTTTCAAAAACACCTCAATTTTTCAGGTTCTAGTATCAGAACTGCTAGATACTTGTCAATCCCTGGTTTAAACAATTATAATTAATTCATTTTATAATTAAATATTTTACAACTGAACTATAAATTAACATTGCAACAACCATATCACTATGTGTTGTCTGTCTTAATGAGAAACTTAACACAATGTCGGCCTTATTACAAAACACATATTTACTATTCTTAGGCTTAAACTGGAAACTGTTTCACATCCCGCGAGAATTAAGCAAAATGTATGGAATTTGACAGTTAATGTCAAATTTCGCGAAGACTGTGGTTTGACAGACTCTTCCTCAACCCGAGGCTATAAATAAACTGCGTTTTGTAGTAAGACAAATCATGTCAACCTTAAAATAACTAACCATAACAAGATACACATATTTGCGAGCCTTCCGACCTGAAACAAAAATACACATTTTATCATCTTAATGATTTTTATAAACATGAGATTTTATTACTTTATCTGCTGGCAATATTTGCAATATATTTTTACACAAATATCTTTTTTTATAGGATAAAGGCGCGACACAAGCACACAGTCCACCTGATGTTAAGTGGTTGCTGTGACACATAGACATCTACATCTATTCTCTATTACGAATCAAAATGCCGATGCATTGTCACCCGTGAGGACTAAGATAAAATGCCTCGTTTCCAGTAAAAAAGGTCTCTTGTTCTCTACACTTACCATACGAAACACAGTAGCGTTAAACTACTATTTTATGGTACTACTGGTATTCTGTGAGAGTGCAGTCCTTTCCCGGTCGAGCTGGCCAATTCATGCTACAATGTCCTATTTCAGTATTCTTTCGCATCTTACAATACCCTAGGGATGATATGGGGTAGTGGATCCCCTTGTGCTGACTGTAGTGTCAGTGAGTGAACATGTTTATTACAATAAAATGGCAGGGTGCGAACCACGAACTCAAAAGTTCGTGGGTTCGAATCTGCCATTTGACTACTGTCCTGAACCGCTCCTAACACAAGCGTTTTAAGCTTATCAGGAGTCGTTAAGGGCCTAAACTCAGCTCAAATTCTAATTTCGCCCCCACTTCCCCGCGCGTTGTATGCTATCTACCGACATGTTTGTAAACACTAATACTGTAAGTAGATAGGTCGTTAGATACTTAATTCATTAGGTTTATCATATTTATGCCCGTTTCTTTACGCCAACAACCCAGTTGCTCCTTATTTTTATTACGGTTATTTCCAGTTTTAATTTTACGTCGTCCTGTTACCATAATGTGTATTTTGATCATAAGCGACACAGCTTTCCCGTTCGAAAGGCGAAGCGAGACTGAGCGGGAGTATCGGGCGGCAAGGAACAAGCTTCAGGACGCCGATAGTTTAGGTAATTTCTTTTAACAGTGAAAAAATGGTAATAAAAAAACAAGCCCTGCTTTATAGTTGTTCAGTTAGTATGCAAAGTTTCATGGACTAATTTAAAGTTTTTTTGTGAATACCAGCGGCTTATTGTTCGGTTTGGAGGTAACTGGATTTTTTTCTACCGAGAAAATTTTACAGAGTCGTGTTTTCGTCTAACATAGTACTTAAAATTAATCTTCAACTTTACCATATATTTATTTCAAAATGAATGCTGCAATATTTTCGCCATAATGGAGGATCTTGCTAGATAGTATAGGCCCTTAAAAAGAATATTAGTAACGTTAATGAATGGGACTACAGTAGGGACCTCGGTAATCCGGACTCCCGCTTGTTCGGTGATCGCTGTAATCCAGCCGGGCAATGGGCTTCCGGGGAGGCGGGCGGGTGCAGGTGCGGGCTGCTATGAGTCAATCACATGTCATCAGTCTTATGTTTAGCGCCTTTCGTGTAGTACGTACAGTGTCAATTTAGCGAGTTCAATTCGCTAACATCATGGCGCCGCCACATAAACATTCAACATTAACAATAAAAGACAAATCACAGATTATAGAAATGTTAGGTAAAGGTGACAGCTACCCCGTCATTGGTCGGAGGTTTGGTATAGGCAGATCAACTGTAGGCGACATAAAGAAAAACAAAGACAAAATCTTGAAGTTTCTTAGCCTAACAGAACATGGTCTCGGTAAATTCAAGAAGAATTAATTAATGTTTTATTTTAACTTACTGTTTTCTTACATGGTTGTAATTTTAAACATGTACAGTCTTTATGCTTTAATTTGAAAATTGATTAAAGAAACTAAGGTTAAACACTTGTGTTTTATTACCACTAAATATGGCATACTATAATCCGGATGCCTCGATAATCCGAAGAAGGCCTTGTTTTTGCCTCTCTGGATTAACGAGGCCCTACTGTACTAGTATTTTTGAAGAAAAAGCTAACAGATGCTCACAGACTATATTGTCATGTTTAATATAAGTATGAGAATAAACTCGTGTAAAACAATAAAAAGTACAAAGCTCACCCAATAAGAGAACATTGTGAACAGTGATACTTCTCGCAGCGGGCACAACAATGCTGACACATAATACAAAGCACTCTCTCACAGTATTCACAGTACGTACAGTTCACTTCAGTTTTTGTATTGCCACAGCTGCACTGTTGTACTGCTGTTAGCTTTGCTTGAACCTGAAATAAATGCTAATCATAATAAATTGTTCCTATTTAGATATTCAGATAACAAACCAACAAAATGAATCCAAGGCTGAGAGTCCCTGCGAGTATAGATGGTGAAAGTGATGCGGGCAAGGTGACAAATATTTTTAAAAATCACTTTAAGTATACCAATCAAAAATCATCGCAGAATTTCGATACAGGTATCCGGGATGGAGATGAAACCACGTGCTTTACGGCTAAACATGTTAAAGACGTAATAAAAAACATGACACGCGGTAAATCTCTAGGTCATGACTGTATCAGTATCGAACACCTGCAATATGCTGGTGTCCACCTTCCACGTGTCCTGGCCATGTTAATTACTTTTTGCATAGGACACTCGTACTTACCTTCTGATCTTATGAAAACGATTGTTGTGCCAGTACTGAAAAATAAAACAGGAGATTCGTCGGACAAAAACAATTATAGACCTACCTCCCTGACTACTACTATAGCGAAAGTGATGGACGTTCTGTTCGGAGGAAGTTACAGTTATCCATTAATCTGTGTGATGCACAATTTCCTTTTAGAACGCAGTTATCCACAGAAAGTACTGTACTTTGTCTCAAGCACACCGTATGTTACTACACAAATCGTAGGACACCTGTTATAGGCTGTTTTTGGACCTATCAAAGGCCTTTGATACGGTTAAATACGATATACTTAGGAAGAAGCTGGCTACTGAAACTAGTAACTTTCCTAATGACTAAATAGGTCTGTTTCAGTATTGGTACGACAACAGAATCAGGTGAGGTGGGCAGGCGTGCAATCTGAGGCGTATGGGCTGGAGTGCGGAGTAAGACAGGGCGGCCTGTCTTCTCCTGCACTTTTTAACCTCTACGTGAACAGTCTGATTGATGAACTCGGTGGTAGTGGAGTCAGCTGTTCTATTGATAATATTGCATATAACAACATAAGTTACGCCGACGATATGGTTCTGCTGAGCCCATCAATTAGTGGTCTAAAAAAACTACTCAGTATCTGTGAGAAGTATGCAACGGCTCATGGCCTACGATATAATGTCAAGAAAAGTGAGATCGTATTTTTGAAATCAAAATATAAGAGCTACAATTTTCCCACTGTCGCTCTTAAAGGTGTACCGCTGAAAAGAGTGACAAGTTTCAAATACCTGGGACACGAGGTTACTGAAAATATGTCGGATGATATTCATATAGAGAGGGAACGCAGGGCTCTAGCTATGAGAGCGAATATGCCCGCCCGCAGATTTGCAGGGTGTAATATGGAAGTTAAACAAACTCTATTCAGAGCCTATTGTCAGTCCTTTTACACCTGCAGTCTATGGGTTGAGTATACACGGAGGACGCTCACAACCCTGCGCGTCCAATATAATAACGGCTTCAGGATGCTGATGGGGCTGCCTCGGTACTGCAGCGCGTCGGCAATGTTTTGCTGAGGCTCGCATAGACAGTTTCTCAGCTATCATGCGCAAACGGGTTGCCTCCGCATGGCGCCATGTCCGAGATAGCTCCAACAGCCTAGTAGCGGCGATAGGGAGTCGCTATTGCTGTCCTATCTTGAGGCACTGGAACAGCGTCCATATCGGCTCGAAACCTGCTCTGGTAAATATAAAGTAGATAGAGTATAGTAATATAGTATGTAACCTTTTAAATTTTATTTATATACTAACTTTATCTTATAAGTTCTTTTTGTAATTACCAACCCGCTCTTTGGAAAGAAATTTCTGAAATAAAGAATAATAATAATAATAATATACACGATACGGTGCCGGGCCTGGGCGTCTCCCGTTAATGGACGCCCAAATAATGGATGATGGATAAAAAGATAGTGCGCAAAGGGCCGCTGCCTGGGGGTCGCCAGGGCACGTCTGGAGCTGGCGCTGGACGCGGCAGCATGCGGGCCGCCAGCCGAGCGCGAGGAGCTGCACGATCACCTAGCAGCCCTTCGCATCCATCATCCCCACCAGAAGGCTTAGTGTCGCTGGGTCTTCTCGAACTCAGCAAGCGGCACCCGCCGCTGGTGGAGCACGTCGCATGCGTTGGTCACAAGCAATGAACGCAAACACATTGGTGGATGGCGTTTGCTGGGACAAATGTCAGTTTGTCCCAGCCGGATATAACGCAAAAACTGACGGAGCGCATAGATAATCTGAAGCAGAGAATCGCTGCTTGGGGAAAGCGGATTCGGCGATATACCGAGAGGTCGACACGGTTCAACCAGAATCGTCTCTTCCAGAGTGATCAGAAGAGGCTCTATGAATCATTGGAGCCCGTAAAGTAACCACACACCACCCGTAAACCACAGCGAGGGCCCTTGGACGGAAGTTGTGGCGAGTCAGTGTTCGAGTATAACGCCCATGGACCCCGTCATTATAACACCGGATGACGTAGCTGAGGCGGTCCGTAGGGCCCCGAACTGGAAAAGTTCGGGACTCGACTGGCTGCATCACTACTGGCTGAAGGGGTTCTTGGTGTGTCACACTGTGCTCGCCCGACAGTTCCAAGAGGCTCTCAACCAGAAGTGGCTCCCAATCCTCTTCACTACTGGGATCACCCATTTGGTTCCTAAAGACCAGGGTACCACAGACCCGAGCAAATACCGCCCCATCACGTGTCTACCGACCATATACAAGAGACTAACATCCATTTTGAGCGCGAGAATCACTCGTCATCTGGACTCAAATCAGGTGATGTCGCGCGTTCAAAATGGATGTCGGGGCGGTGGTCGTGGAACCAAGGAACCACTCCTCATTGACGCGGTCATTGACAAAGTGGTGAAACGCAACCGTCGGAACTTCTCCGCCGCCTAGATAGACTACAGAAAGGCATTCGACTCGGTGCTCCATACATGGCTAAAGAGAGTCCTCGAGCTGTACAAGATAGACTTTACAGTTAGAGGCTTCCTGGAGCAGTGTATGGGGCAGTGGAGTACGATCCTTTGTCATCTGGGCGAGCGGATGATGGCTGCGGAGAACCACATAAGGATAAGAAGGGGTATCTTCCAGGACGATTGTCTGAGTCCAATCTGGTTCTGCCCCTCTCTGAACCCTCTTAGTACCTTATTGGAGGGCTCCGGGAGGAGATTTCAGCTACAGAAAGGAGGGACAAAAGTGACCCACCTTTTCTATATGAATGACCTCAAGTTATTCGCCTCCAGTCGCTCCCATCTTATGGAATTGCTAAACATCACTTTGGAATTTAGCAATTCCATTGGAATGGAGCTGGGGACGGATAAGTGTGCGGTCCTCCATGTTGAAAGGGGAAGGGTTGCTAACTCGGAGGGCATAGACTTATCTATGCCCGTCAACTTAAGAACCCTTTCCGAGGCTGAAACATACCGATACCTGGGTATGTCACAGAACATCGGTATCGATGAGGCTGGTATGAAACAGTCAGTTTGCGACGTGTTTTATGCACGCCTTTTGTCCGGTGTGAATAAGACACATGCATATAACGGCTGGGTCATGCCTGTCCTCATGTATACCTTTGGCATACTCAGGTGGACTCAGACTGAACTTAACGCCCTGGATAGAAAAGTCCACACTACCATGACGTCCCATAGGATGCATCATCCGAGATCGTCGGTAATGAGGCTGTACTTGCCGCGAAAGCATGGTGGGCGTGGTTTCTTGAGCGCACTCACCATACATAATCGCGAAGTGTGCACCCTCCGTGATTACTTTCTGGCGAGATCAGATGATCCATTCTATAAGGACGTCATTTCTTCTGATAAAGGACTTACCCCTCTACCCTTAGCCAACGAGCAATGGCAAGACCCGGCAGTGCAGAGCATTTCCGACCGGGAGATCGTAAGGAGCTCCACGGGAGGTTCTACAAGGCTCTACATGAGCCTTTCGTAGACACAGTAGCCTCCTTCCACTGGCTACGCTTTGGTGATCTCTTCGGGGAAACCGAGGGTTTTGTCTGTGCAATACAGAATCTGGTTATTAAGACCAACAACTATCGGAGATACATCTTAAGGGATGGCACCGTCGACATCTGTCGAGCTTGTCGCCATCGAGGTGAGTCACTTAGGCATGTCATCTCCGGTTGTTCGGCGCTTTCTAACTCTGAGTACTTGCACAGGCACAACCTAGTAGCCAGAAATCTTCATCAGGGCTCGCTCTGAAATACGGTCTCGTGGATCGGAAATTGCCGTATTACAAGTACTTGCCGGAAGCCGTGCTCGAAAATGATCGCGCCAGGCTCTATTGGGACCGGGCCATCATCACAGATAGGACTATTCTTGCGAATAAGCCTCATATTGTGCTGATGGACCAGGCACAGTCAAGGATATTTTTGGTCGACATTACCATTCCGTATGACGAGAACCTCGTGAAAGCACGAAACAAAACAAGTAGATAAGCAAACAAAATATCTGGACCTGGCTCACGAGGTGACCGACATGTGGGGTGGTCTGCCGACGGAAATTATTCCTGTAGTCGTCTCTGCAAACGGGCTAATCCCAGTCAGCCTCTCGGGTCATCTGAGGCGACTGGGACTCCGTGGCGGACTGCTCCAGGCTCAAATGCAGAAGGCGGTGCTCCTCGATACCGCCCGCATCGTCCGCCGGTTTCTTTCCCTTTCCCCCTAACCCTCGGCCGTCTGGTCTCCCCTGCCGAGGGCTTCCATCTGGTTGGGATCTTTATTTATATATGTATTTTTATATTTATTTTATTTTATTGATATTTATGTATATTTATCTTTTCATTTTCATTTATAATTATATATTTATAGAACCCAACCAAATGAGAAAACTATATGATACCCCCCATAATATAACAAAACCTATATATATATTACCCCGCAAATAAACACTGTTCTCTCAATGGGTTAATCCCAATCAGCCTCTCGGGTCATCTTAGGCGACGGGACTCCATGACAGACTGCTCCGGGCTCAAATGCAGAAGGCGGTGCTTCTCGATACCGCCCGCATCGTCCGCCGGTTTCTTTCCCTTTCCCCATAACCCTCGGCCGTTTGATCTCCCCTGCCGAGGGCTGCCATCTGGTTGGTCTTTTATTTATTTATGTATTTTTATGTATTTATTTTATTTTATTGTTATTTATGTATATTTATCATTTTCGTTCGCAATTATATATTTATGGAACCCAACCATATGCGAAAACTATATAGATACCCCGAAATTTGGTAAAATTTTATGTTGGATGAAGGTGACTCAGGACTGTGCTTTGTGGCATTCTATGTGGGAGGTCTATGTTCAGCAGTGGAGGGCTGTAAAGATGATGATGATGATGAAAATTAAAATTTTGATCTTTGATACTGTCTAACAGCGAATAATTCTGTCTGGTATTTCATTTATCACACCTTGTCTTGAGGCTTCTTAAAAAGGAGTTGGCAGTTTTAGGTGAAAATTTGCTTCTCAATTAGGATTGGTTGTACTCATAATGGGTATGTTATAAAGTCGAAATTTAACATTTCATGATTTAAGGTTCAGTTTGATCTTACTCTTTAAAAATCTGTCTCATTAACGACGACGAATTATTACACATGTCAAAAACTATGGAAACAGCCCAAGAAGAGGGAGAAAGAAGTTGAATGTTTACCTTAGACACATAAACCAAAACCACAGTCTCTAAATCCTTCCAAATCCAAGATGAAAAAATGAGATAACTCCTCCCCAAAACTCTCCGCTGCCTGGCAAGTGGTGAGCCGTAAGGTGAAGCGCAAGGCACCCAAAATGGTGACTTGCCGACCCCACGCACCATCAGGTGGGTCTATCCCAGCAGGCAGTAGCACAAAGGTCAAAAAGAAGAATAAGAAGCAACGAGACAAAGGCCGCAGAGAAAGAGCCGCGCTCGCTGCTTCCAAGAGGACCAGAGCTGCAAGCTACTGCTACTGCGGTTCTTGGGGCTGGAACCAGTAGTCGTGCTGAAACTGGGAAGGATGAAAATCCAGCCCGAGCAGTAGGCACGGCCGCCGGAACCAGCTCTAAGAAATCCGCCAGGAACCAGAGAGCAGCCAAGCGTCCTGGAAAGAAGAAAGGAGCAGCCAAAAGATTGCTGGAGTAGTCCACCTCGCCGAGAGGAGAGCACAAAAAAGTGCGACTTGAACAGCAAACAAAGGCTGCAAGAACAAGCTACGCTTCTGCTGCTAAAGTAGATTTGGGTGTGGCCTTAACGTGTGCGCGTTCAGGTCACATAACAAAGGAGGTAGCTGTTGACATCCTCGTGGCCATATAGAGAAAGATGATCAGCGAGGCCTGGAGTAACCAGGACCCTGATACGTCGAGCCCGGTTTTTAGAGGCAAACCCGTTTACACGCAGGGTGTCCTAAAGCTGTGGTGCGATGACCAGAAGGCTCTGGACTGGTTGAAGGGGAATATTAATACCCTCGACCTCAAATCCAACACCTCGCTGGCTATTAAGAAACAGTCAGAGATACCACAAAGAATCAAATGTGGTATCTTTATCCCTGATGCCCAAGGTGCCTGGAAGGAGTCACGCGACATTGGTCGTGTGCTTGCGTACCAGAACCGCTGGGTAAACATCAAGGACTGGCTACTACTCAAAGCGGACAAACAGACGGACGGGTGGTTCCTCGTTTTTTCGGTGCCGGATGATCATATCCCGACCCTGATGAAAGCCGGGCGCCGTCTCGCACGTGTATGTGGGGCGGTATACGTTAAATTCCAGGGTCGTGGAGGAAAATTACCACCTAGCAAAGAGGCAGAAAAGAACCCGGAAGTCATGGATACCGTGGCCATGGTTGCCGGTACATCGAAATCACTGGATGTCAAGTCCAGTGAAAAAACTGCCTGCACACTAAAACAAAACTAGCCTAGTGCAGGCCAACCTCCACCACAGTGAGACAGCGTCGGCTCAATTACGCAAGTGGTTGGAGGCACAAAGGATGGCCATAGCCCTAATCCAAGAGCCATGGGTTGGGGCCGGTAAAATTAAAGGCCTAAATAACCTAAGAGGTAAGTTATTCTGGTACGACAACAAGCATTGTGTGCGACCTGACCCAAGCGGCTCTCCGTATTGTGGAGAGATGGTGCAGGGAATATGCCCTAACCGTTAATCCAAATAAAACGGTTATAGTAATGTTCACACAAAAACGAATGCTGAATAACTATCATCTTCCAAGTTTTTTCAGCACAAAACTCCAACTTTCTTCCGAGGTAAAATACCTAGGTCTTACCTTGGACAGTAAACTTAACTGGAACAAACACATAGAAATCAGCAAAGCTAGTTTAACTTTCTGGCAGTGCAGAAACTTGATTGGCAAACGATGGGGTTTAACGCCAAAAATTGTACTATGGCTGTACAAAATTGTAATTCGGCCCATGATCACATACGGCTCTCTGGTATGGTGGACCAAAACCAACGAAGCCACTACTATATAAAAGCTTCAGCGTTACCAGAGATTAGCTTGTATGGCTGCCACGGGCTGCATAAGGACTACACCAACAGCAGCTTTGGAGGCTATGCTGGAGCTAACACCACTTCATCTACATATACAACAAGAAGCAACTTTAGCTGCCATTAGACTCAAGACCCTAAATCTTTTAAGTAAGAGTAGAGAGAGAGATTATACAGATATAATCGATAGAATTTACTCAAAAATTCCTATCTTACAAGCCAAGTATGATAGGATCCCAAAACAATTTGTATTCGATAAGAAGTACAGGATACAATTGAAGGAAACTGACCATCTAGAAGGATTGGGTCCAAGAGAGCTCAAAGTTTTCACGGATGGCTCTAAGACAAATGAAGGTGTGGGGTCTGGGGCTTTCTCTGTAGACCTTAATATCCACATATGCACACCGCTGGGTACCCACAATACAGTCTTCCAGGCTGAATGCATGGGTATCATCCAAGCGGCCATAGCAAACAGAAGGTAAAGACCATAAAGACAGAGGACAAATATACGAGTGCCATCAACGATTGAATGAGGTATGTAAGCACAACAATGTGACTCTGCAATGGATCAAGGGACACAGTGGATCTAGAGGCAACAATGCAGCAGATGAACTGGCCAGAAGGGGACCGGCCCTAGCAACTATAGGGCCATAATATATATATATATATATATATATATATATATATATATATAACCAATAATACCAATCCCCTTTGGCTACGTTCGTTCACTGGCACACAGATACTTCAATAATTTACATGCTCTGCTTTGGAAAAATTTTGTAGACTGTAGACAAGCTAGGGAGGCGCTACCTGAAATAAGCAGTCGTCTAACCAAGGTTCTAATGAGACTGAACAAGCCACAGGTCAGGATAGTAACAAGTGCTATCACAGGACATGGCTCTTTTAACAAACATTTGTTCACCATAGGGGTTACTGACAACCCTCTGTGCAGGGCATGCATGGGAGAGGAAGAAACGACGGCTCACGTGTTGCTGACATGTCCAGAAGTTGCTTCATACAGGGCTAAACATCTCGGCACGCCAGGATCGCTCCCTGAAGTTGCTTGCAGCATCAAGGGACTGCTGAGCTTCTTCGGGGAGATATCATGGCTCGAATAAGCATATTATTCCTGCCCACACGCAAAATACGCGCTTAGACGTGGAGTTGCGGAAAACAGCCCGTCGTTAACTAAACTAAACTAATCTGTCTCATTGCAGACAGACACTGTGTGTGTGTGCGTGAGTGTGTACATGTGGGTGCATAAGTGCGCTTTGTATGATTGTGTAGCTTGCATATCTCTGAAATTAAATAATGTTATTATAATTGAGGATACATGTAGATGTCTATGAGAAATAGCATATAGTTACCATCAAGTGGGCGGTATGCTCTTTTGTCACCCTTATTTTATAAGAAACAAACTAAATTAAGAAGTTGATAATGAGGACAGAATGGATCACATTCATGCACACCTATATCTTTTTTATGATTATCCAGCTAGCCTCAGTATTTTTATATATACTTCATGCCAAGCTTTTCCTAAGGCTAAGCTAAGGTTGTAGAACAAATGGGTTGGCTAACCGAGGAAGAACCACAATCTCACAAAATACTGATGTAAAGTAGCAGTTTAATGCTGCTGTGCTTCCTATGCTGAGTGTAGAACCAGAGATTTTTACTGGATATGAGACATTCCATCTTAGTCCGCAGGGGTGACACATCTGCATATTGATTCTTAATTGAGGATACAGGTAGATGTCTATGGGTCACAGCATTCACTTACCATCAGGTGAATTATGTGCTTGTTTGTTACCCTTATTCTATAAAAAATATCTTAGGTCAAACATTTAATTCCTAAATGATCTTGTGTAGTATTTGATTAAATGTTGCAAAACTACCGCAAAAAAAGTTCAGACTTTTTTTTATTGTAAGTATTAGTTTAATCTGAAATTCTTACCTGTGTTTCTTCTGAATTAAGAAGACAACCATCTTTACCAATGACTAGCTGTTTCATTCCATCTTTTTTACAAATTGCAGCTATTGTTTGAGTACTTATAGAATCAAGATTTGACGACTTTTTTGCTCCCTTAAAGAGCAATTCCAATGTTTTTTCTGGAAATTTATATGAAAAATTCATATTTATATTGTTTTTACAATAACTTTTCATTTGGGGGTATTGCTTTATATTCATAAAATGGCTAGCAGGTTCTATCAGTTTTCCTTCAGCAAATCGCAGAGCAAATTAGTACTTAAAATTATAATAAACAATTTTATAGGTGCCATCAAAAAGCAAGCTTAGGTTGCTTACATACTCTGCAGTTACAGAGGGCAATTAGCCCTTGAACTACGACAGCTCTCTTAGCCCCTGAGCTACGACAGCTTACACAGTATTAAGTAGACACTAATATTCAAAACTACAATGTTTATTACCATGGTAAAAACACTAAAATTAAATTATCAAAATATAATTATTTAATTAGTCCTCCTGCTTGCGGTATACTATAGTGTCAAGATTTTCATAAGTTCTATAAACTTATGATTGTACCGTAACATAATGTGTAATTAATGAATGTAATAATATATTAAATAAATTTAAAAAAAAGAACACTGGCTGTGTTCCCATGCTGAATGGCCTTACAGCGCGAAAAGAACCAACCCTATTATCACCAGCAGCAACAAATCACTGATACAGCTCCTGTAGAAACTTCACTGCATGTGGATCTCATGGATTGATAGCCTCTAGAGCAAATGGTAAAAATTACATATTTCACATCACATGTCTCAAAAACTCATACTTGCATCGCTTACTTCGTTCAGCTACCTCTGATGCCACCCCTGTTCTCAATGAGGTACCCCTGAGATGAAAGGCTGCCAAACTGTATGTAGCAACGTACATAGCAACCCACACTCAAGGCATTATCTTTATCCTAAATAACTAAAGTTATACTGTCAGGCCTCCTGCCATTGTCTCTAAATATTCCAAACATGTCTCAAAAGCCGAGAGAACATTTATAGAGAAAAGAGCTTTTCGGATAACATTACTAAGAGCACCATGACAGGTGAGGTGCTAATTGAAGTAAAATTATAGAAAACTATTAAATAAAATTAAAGTATGTAGTATATAGACATTTATATTTACCATACACTTTCTTCAGCCTGTCTTCGTTGTTATTAAACTGTTTTAAACCTACATGAACCTTGCTTTGCGGCACGAAGTCTTCGATGAATGGATTTGATCTTTTAGTAGCCATGTTGAATATACAAATACAAGTTACATCTATAAAAACTGATTGGACATTAATTCATTGAGAAGCGCTAGAATATAATATTATAACTATAAAAGTTGAATCATAGGACATAGGGACATAGACTGACTTACATGTTTTGCTGTTTTTTCTTTTTGCTAATTCTGTCACACGACAAATTAGTACTTATGAAACCGGAGACAAATTAAAGCATTTATCAGTATTAGAATAATGTTAAATGTAATAATCTAAAACTTAAAGTAGGTACCTAGCACCTACCTTCAACATTAATATTTATTTTTATTTTTTATGAGTTATGACTTATGAGCATAGATAAATATAGATTATGTAGTAGACATAAACCGATATATCAAAACGTAACTAATAACGTAATGTTATCAAAATATCATATATCGATACTCCCAAGTGCATAACCGTTATCACATATCCAACCAAAACCAAGAAACCAAAACGTACGAAAGTTACGAACTGAGTGTGCGAGTGTTAAACCTGTATGTATGTATCCAGGATATTATCTTGGATATCATATTCATTTTCGAATTTTGCGAAAAATAATAATATTTTTCATTTAAAATCTGAATGAATAAATAAAATATGATATACAACTTGCTTGTGTAACTTACTATTTGTGATTAATTATGTGCAAAACAATTAATAATAAATAATTATTGATTTAAAAAAAGTTTGTTTCATTTTTACTCAACTAACCATTATTATTTTATATTAAAAATACTACATATAATATGGGATCAGGGATTTCCATCCCAGTAATTAGATAAAAGAAGGATTTAATTTCTATCTACACAGCAGACATAAATCTGTCAGTCACATTTATACCTCAGATAAATTATTTCACGATTGAAAATCAGCCAAAAACCCTTTTTTATATATATATATATATATATATATATATATAATAAAAGTTAAAATATCGATATCAGCTGCGCATATTGCAGAGTTACAACCCTATAAAAGGCGGCCAACGGCCATTTTATGCGCCAGATACTTGAAGGTAGTTACGCTAACTATGTTTGTAGGTATGCCCAGTCATTAGACAGAGAATCCTAGGATTCTCTGTCTACGGCCCAGTCAGTATCCACATCCACATATACTTCTAAGTCAGTATCCGCAAACTAATAAGAGTACTGACGTAGTCACTGTCATATCCATGGACCAAAGAACAAGAAGAATAAGAAGAATAGAGAACCTTTGACATTGACGGGAGCTTTTTTTTTCAGGATTTTTGTGGTTGCATTGGATAAAAGTCTTTAGGCAAGTTTAAACTTTAAAACAAATTGCTACATATGCACCATATAAACTTAAAATAAAAGTGCCTTTTGTTTTAAGTCGGTAATAGAAGTAAACACAAAAACCAAACAATACAATTATGCAAACCTAAGAAAGAAAAAAATCTACAGAATGCTATCCTAAAAGTCATTCTCAAATTTTCGAATTGTTGTAGATATACAATTGTTTTTGGCTATATTTATTTATTTTAACATTAATTATTTTGCAATAAAATAATTATACCTTTAACGATTGGAAAAAAATGCTCTGTCGTAAATGTCAATCCAAATTAGCATGGCTACACTGCCAACAAGGCACCTTCGATCGATGGGTTGCTGTCAACTAATTCTTTGAAATATATCAAAAATAAATCAAATAATTATTGTAATCGTTCTTAAACCACATAATATATAATTTAATTTATCTTTCGTAATTTACAATAGTGACAGTATTTGTGTAAAAAAAGAATAGATCACACAAGAGAGTGAAAGTGTTGGATCGTTTTGTTCTATGACGGGGCTGTTTGTGGAGTTAAGAGCATATGTGAGCGACGCTTTCGTGAATGTTACGTAAGTGGCGATAGTGCGGTATGTCGTGGATGAAGAGGCCCCAGGGCGGTGCGCCAGCGCCCGCCACAGAGCAGCCTCTATACGACGCACCCCAGGTAAGCAGGTTATGTCGACACCGACGTAAACAATGACGTGGATCAGAAACCTAAGAACCTCTCAATCATATGAATAATAAAGTCTGTAGTTGGTCTTTTCTTAAACTTTTCCATGTTCTAAGTATTTAAATATTACGAAAGTATTATATATTTCTTTATAATTTGAATCAGTCAGGCTTTTTGTATATTTCAGCCTTATGGGAATCAACAGAATATGTATTCAAATTATCAGAGTGCACAAGTGAGCACTCAACAACAACAATATTGGCAAATGCAACAACAGCAGCCTCAGAATCAATACAACCAGCAATATGGGCATCAGCAGCAGGGTTATGGCAATAATGCTAACCAGTTTTACCAACAGCCTACACAGTACAATCAAAACTTTCCCAATCAAAGCTATACTAACACTCAGCAGGGATATCCACAAAATTATTATACAAACCAAGCAGTGTCCCAACAAAACTATCCTCAGAATAAAATGAATAATGATGGTTGGGAAGATAATTGGGACTGGGGATGGGAAGACGCATCTAAACAAAAGCCTACTTTAAATCAGGCAGTTTCACAAGAGAGTTTTTCACAATCACAAGTATGTAACAATGCAAATGTTATTGAAGAAAGCTTTGCACCTTCTAATACTTGGAATTGGGCAATGGAGAATAAGAAAGAACCTCAAGCCAATTCTTCTACAACAATTGTGGCACAGGAAAATAATGAATCTTCAACACAACCAACAGTTAACACAACACCTGATATTATACCCCAAACTGAATCTAGTACTCAGAGCAATGTGAGTAATCCCCCAGGTCTATTTTCAACTGACGAAATAAAAACATTAAATGATCGAGAAGATGTTAAGGAACGGCTGCCTAATTTAGCACTTGGAAAGCGTTTCCATATTGAAAATTTAACACCTCAGTGGTCCATAGAATCACAAATGTCTCAAGAGTCTAGTGATGGACCACAAACACATTCTGAAGGTACTTACAGAAGTGAAAACCAATCCAGAAATTCTAGTAAAAGTAGCCCCGGCATAAATACGGATAATTCTCATTTTAATTACTCTCAATCTCGTTTGGATGAGATGTACCCTCAGACCAGTGAGTGGTCTAAGCATTCTAATGAAGACACAACTTTAATTGATAGTCACAAAAGTAGTAGCAGACGTGAAAGTCATGATGATTTATCAAGTTCTATGCAGGACATGAATATATCTAATACTGAAAGTGTTGTTCCACAAATTACTAACACTAATAATGAATTTGAACAAAACATGATGGAAAATTTGCCACCACCTGTTCAACTACCAACATCCATTTCATCTGCTGAAAGTGTTCAACATCTATCTTCAAATATAGCTCCTACATCAAACTCTATGCCACCACCTCCACCAGTTTCGACAGCAACCCAAGCACCTCCTACAGTTTCATCAACTTCAATGCCTCCTCCCACTAATTTTCCTGCATCTTTGTCTCAAAATCCTTTCAAACATGCAGGGCCATTTTCCCACAAAAATATTTCAAAGACTAATTCAAATACATCATCTCAAATTTTCCCACCACAGATGCCAAACTCAAGTTTAACATCACCAGCTGTTGTGAATAAAATCTCTCAACACAACAGAATGCCTGCAGGTTTTGGAGCTAATTTAGAAACAACTCCAGATAACTCCGAAAGACCTGATCAACCTCAAGCATCTAACTTCAGGCAAATCCCTGTAACTCAACAAATTCCTGACAACCTGGAAGTTGCTCCACAAAATGATAGGAATGAGTATTTACAAACGGAACATTTGTCTAGTGTTGATTATGGTGAGAACACAGACTTTAGCCAAAATGCACCTCCTCCTGGTTTGAGAAGGATGGTAGTAGGTCAACAAGAAACGGAATACAGGCAAAACTTAAATATATCTGGTGATGAACCTCCTCCGGGTCTTGCTCGTATGGTTCCAGGGCAACAAACTGAGTCAGATAATGGTTATAATCAACCAATTGAAAATTACATAGATCGTCATGCAGATGGCCAACTAACTGAAAGTACTAATCGGCCTTTTAGGCAAGCTGATGGCCAACAAACTCCAGACAATTTTACTCAACCACCAACTAATAGAGTCACTGATAGAAGACCAATAGGATTGGATAGAATGGTTCCCGGTGAATCAAGTAACAATGAATATAGGCAGTATCAAGGAAGCAATTATGGTGGTTCAACTGCACCAAGAGTTGTCACAGGAGTTGACCATGATTATCCATTGCATACTGATGTAGGCCCAACAGATGTGAGGGAACAGAATGTTGATGGGTCTGATTATACTGAGACAACTACAAGAAATACAACTCGAAATATAATTGGGCTAAGGGAGCAAAGTAACAACACATCAGTGGATTTCAGTTCAGCACCTGAGGAGCAGCAACGAGAGGTTACAATGGAGGGAGAAAATTTGCAGGACTTGAGTATCATATCTGGAGCAGAAATGGGTTTCTCAAGGGAACAGATGTTTGATGTAGTCAGTGGTAATGTCACTGATTTGGGTACAGATAGAGGTCACGATGCTTCAGATTCGGTTGAATATCCGGCAAAAAATTCGAGGAGACAGTCTGTTAATCGCATTAATACATCAGGAGATGATTCTGAACGGGATCGTACATTTAAGTCATCTCCAATAAGAGATAGAGAAAAACACAAAACTTCAAGAGATCGCGATAGGGATAGGGAAAGGGACAAAGAGGGTAGATATTCTAGAGGTGATAGAAAATATGACAGGGATCCGGATAGAAGATTGGGAAGAGATGGTCAAAGATCTGAAAAAGATAGGAGAGACAGAGACAAGGACCGTGAGAGACGTGATAGAGACATCAGTCCTGATATACGCAGACACAGACGTAGCACCAGGAGTCATAGATATGAGACTGAAGACACTGACTATTATAGTGACAAAGAGAGAGACCGCAGGTACAGTGCTGTTTCCATATTAACTAATACTTTTTATGAATGTAGTAGAGTCATGCTGCAGCTAGATTAAGATTGTAGCATAAATGTGTCAGCTTGACCGAGGGGACCATGTTCTCACAGAATATCAGTGTGAAATAGCAGCTTAATACTTCTGTGTTTCATATAGTAAGTGTAGGAACTGTAGACCCTTTTTACTGGATATGGGGCATTCCATCTCAGATACCAGAGTAAAACAGCAGAGTAATGCTGTCGCATTTTGTATGGAAGTGCAGGGAATCAAGGACCCTTTTCACTGCTAATAAGGGATTCCATCTTAGTCCTCAAGGGTACGAGACAATGTGTCTGCATTTAAACACTGAATCGAGGTTATGTAGATGTTAATGGACCACAGCATCTACTTACCATCAGGTGAACTGTGTGTTTGCTTATTCTATAAAATACAATAAACAAATAGACAAAAGTTCATAATTAACAGACATAGTAAGGATTTCTTATATTTATGTGAATACTAAGCATGGAATAAAACTAATTTTGCAGATTTTATTGCGTTTAATTGAAACTTTTTTAATTCCCGACGTTTCAGGCATTTTCCAGCTCCATGGTCACTGGGGGATTGATGTGTTTTACGTCTCTATGTCATAGTTAACGAAGGCTACCTTCAACTTTTAATTATTAATTTTTGGTCCGATCTACACAGAACGAGCTTACAGTATTTTGAAGTCTAGCTGTAATATGCCAGAGGTAGCACCCAGCCATCTTCTCTAATGATTAGGATGAATTTTAATTTCAATAGCCTCATGAATTATCCTTGGTAAGAATCAGTGTTCTTTTGAGAGGTTTTGTGGTCTTTCAAATCTGATATAATAGTTGGGACGATCTTGAACATGTTGACATACTGCAGACTTCCCGGAGCGTCCATGCTTCACATCAACGATATGATCTTTCACGCAGGTTTTTATGGATCTTTTTGTTTGTCCTATGTAAGAGAGACCACATTTACAAACAAGCTTGTACACTCCTGCATCTTGTAGAAGGTTATTACAATAGATGCATAGTTAGAACTGACCAATCTTCTTTGGCGCCTTGCAGTAAGTTTTTATGTAAGCCCGCTTTAAGATGTAGCCAATCTTGTCTGTAACTCCTCTGACATATGGTAGTACAGTAGGCACATGCTCGACTGGCCTCGGTCACTGAGACAGCCTCGCAGTACCCGGAGCTTGTTGTCATGCAAAACTTGCTTGATGTCCTGGAGCTCGGCGGTCATGTGTACTGTCACAGATCCCTTGCGAAGGTTTTGGTCTTTGTCTGATAGTAAAATTGTGAGTGTTGCCTATGTACGGCTTCTAGAGCCTAGGATACACATCCTCGCAAAGGAACACTGATTCACAAAGCTATTGAAGTTAAAAAACATCCTAATTTCAATAGAGAAGATGGCTGGGTGGTACCATCCGCTTGGGATCCCATAATTAATAAAAATTAAATATAAATTCAAGCACACTACTGTAAGACTTCAAGTTACTGTAAGCTTGTTCTGCATAGATCAGACAAAAAATTAATAATTAAAGTTGAAGGTAGCCTTTGTTAACTATGACATCAAGATGTCGAACACCTCAGTTCCACCTCGTGACTGTGGGTACTGGTAATTACTCGAAACGTCGGGAATTAAAAAAGTTAAAATTTAACGCAATAAAATCTGTAAAATTAGTTTTATTCCAGACCTAGTAAGTATAATCTTCTAAGTTCTTTATTTAAAATTTAATTCTTTACCTGGTTACAAATTTAGTGTAAACTAATTTTGATATATACATACATTTGACAAACATACCCAAAGTTTAGACATATTTAAAATTTTAGACGCTATAGAGAGGGTTCGTACAGTTCAAAGCCACCTCGACCCGACGACAAGGAACGACGACACGACGACCGCCGACGCCACAATACAAAGGAGCGCGAGAGTCGCTACGATGAAGAAAGCGGCGGCAGGAGACGTAGCGATCGACACCGAGATAGATATGAGAGACGATACAGGGATATAGACCTCAATAGGAAGTATGGCAACTTGAGACGGGAGGAAGAAGAGAGAAGGAGAGGTAAGTGTTATTAGTTATTATAATGTATGTTATTATCTACTACTGTGCTATTTTATTTCATTTTTAAGAAATTCTGAATAATATAGGATTCATTTTCTTACCTTGTTTTTTATGGAATAAGGGTTTAAAACAAGCACAAGTCTACCTGATGGTTAGTGGATACTGTGGCCCATAGATATCTACATGTATCCTTGATTAATAATCAATATGGAAATGTGTCGTCACTCCCGTGGACAAAGATGGAATGCCTCAAATCCAGTAAAAATGGTCTCTGGTTCTCCAGTACACTCCATTATATGAAACACAACAGCATTAAGCTACTATTTTATGATGGTATTCTGTGGGAGCGTGGTCCATCATCGGTTGACGCGAGCAATTCATGCCACAACGATAATAAAGCTGCACTGTGGCTCTACCACATTCATCCATGGTTGTAAGAAACTATAGAATTTATACCCTCTACATTTATGTATGAATATTTAGGTAATGTTTATTTTATTTAATATTTGGTTATATTATTACAAATGCATTAGATAATTTTAGTTTTATTTTTTACAGTTGTGACATTCTCGAAGGACGCAAAGTCTAGTAATTGTAAGGGTTAATGTAGAATGTTGTGTGATTTTGCAGTGTGCAAGAGTTTCGTTATGACCCACGCGTCACGCTCTTATGCATGCTTCACAATGTTTCAATGAACATTCGCTTTTGTATAATCTCTCGCGTCTAACAAGCCAGTGAGGTATTTTTTTTACCAGTGTACAATATAATATCTTGTTATATACATATATATAAATTTTTAAATCTAGAATCTTCTGTACATCAAATTAATCTTTCAATAAGAAGTTATGAATTTGTTTGGTGTATACATAATGCTTTCCTCAAATAAAAAATTGCTTAACTGTCAATAATTTATCGTATTTCGTTACGCGTGCTATAACACTATCGGGTCTTGGTGTTATAACATTCTAAATGCTTGCATATTGTTGCCCTCATTAGTCATTTGCGCGAATTTGTGTCACAAACATTCTGAAGCACAAAGGAAATTGTAAATTCACAAATCAGTATATTCTTGGTTAATAGTTATAAGACAATTTTTTTTATATAAAAAATTGTGAGGTACATTCTGTAAATATTGAGAATATGCACAAGCTAGCAGTACAAGTTACTCGACTCTAAAAAGTCAATAATTATGGGGCAATTTGTTTATGGGGTTATACGTTTTTCGCTTTTTCGCAGTAGAATTCAGGGGGAAGCCTTGGCTACTTTCCACTTTAAAGCGCCTCTATCCAAGCTTTCTGCCTATGGGCTTTCTGAGAAATCGTGCAATTGGATCAGCAGTTTTCTTGCAGATCGAAACATCAAGGTCGTAGTAGACGGTGCATGCACTGCCTTTTAATGCTGGTGTTCCACAAGGCGGCGTGCTGTCACCTACGCTGTTTTTACTGCATATCAATGATGTGTTGCAAATTAGTAACATTCATTGCTATGAGGACGACAGCATTGGTGATGCTTTTAACACCGGCTGTGCCAATACTTCACGGGAATACGTCGTAAAACACCGGAACAAACTTGTCGACTAAATCAAGTGCAGTTTAACCCCAGCCAAACCCAGAAGACAGGATTGAGCTTTTACTGCTAAAAAGAACCTTTGTCTCCTCAATTTCAGGACACTCCCCTTATTGCCTCAGCTAGTATCCATGGCGTTAATATATAAAATGACGTTCAGTTTTGCGGTCATGGAAGGCTAAGCCTTTAAAAAGTTCACGTGCTGAGTAGTGCGGGACAACGTCTCATGCCGGCGCACCCTTGCTACTTAAGCGCAAGCTGGGCCGGGACATCCCAGTACCAGCTCCTTCCACTTGACCGAGCAGCCTGAATCATCGACGACCGAATTCTTTTCGATCGGCTTGATTCACTGGCGCTGCGAAGAGATGTTGTATTTTCTAACGCATTTACCACGGGCAGTGTTCAGAGGAATTATTCGGATTAATTCCAGCCGCCAAATTCCACCGTCAAAACTTACGATACCATCCACACCATCTGGATGCTTGGAGCGACTGTGCAATTTACTAGAAGTTTTCTTTTTCATATGACTTCTTTGTAGAATCGTCTACCACAGACGATTTTACAGTACTTAGAAACCTTCAAGAAACGAGCTTACCCCTTTTTAAAAGGCGGGCATTTGAAATTCCCCTGGTGTTGCCATCAAGTGAACCGCATGCCCATTTGCCCCCTCTTCTATAAAAAATAGATATGGTCTTACAATAGTACCTTGTCCTATAACTACATTTAGATTTGTTTATTTTGTATAGATCTGTTGTTAAAATATGTTTTGAACCTTTACTGTATCTTTGGTTTAAATATCTTAGGCGAGATTGCTGATCAAAGGCCTTAGGCTCGAATCTCGCTTCGCGTCGGGCCAATATTCAGTTATTGCGTACCTTACCTTACATGTACTCGTGGAGGTTTCTTCATGATCTATTTTCGGTTTGCTATCCAACTGTACCCAGTTAATAGTTCTTTTTTTAAATAGAAATTCATCATTGCATGCAGGAATAGAAAACAAAAAAATTGGGACTCATATGTATTTGTTTTTAACAACCTTTGCGTTTAGTTTTTACTTATCTTCTTCTTCTTTCAACCCTTGAAAGTCTTGACGACTGCTAGACATGGTTTGTCATTATATATGTGCGAAGAATTTATTCGTTAGACTACAGGCGGGTAGGCAGTCTCAAAACCAAGATATTTTACACCTTTTACGTCTCAGGTTAACTAGATGGTTATACCGCTATCTTTTTTATAGAGTAAGTGTGACAAACGAGCACACAGTCCTCTTGATGGTAAGTGAATGCCATGGCCCATAGACATCTACATCTATCGTCACCCCTGAGGACTGAGATGGAATGCCTCGTTTCCAGTGAAAAGGTCCTTCAGTTCTCTATACTTACCATATAAAACAGCAACATACTTATGCCATTAGAGATTTCATTATTCGATATATTATGTTCGTGATCGCATGTCCTAACTTAAAGATCGTTATCTATCGAATAATAATAATAAAAAAATAGATTCGAATTGAAAACTTGTAACGTAACCGTGAAGTTTAGTTGCTGTCGAAATGTATTTTTTTTTCTCTCTGTGAAAGACAAAAATGTTGCATTATGTGAAATGTGTTCTCGTGTGTTATCAAAGACACAATTTTTTTTGTTATAGAATAAGGGTGAAAAATAGCAAACAGTCCACATAATTTTAAATGGATGCTACAAGCTTATAGACATCTATATCTATCCTCAATTAAGATACAAAATACAAATGCGTTGTCACACCCGAGGAATAAGCTGCAGCGTGGCTTTACCACGTATAATAAATTTATATTTAACTTGTAGCTTGAAGACTGTACTCTCTCCCTCCCTCTCTCCCACTCTTTTTCTCACTCTCCCCCCCTCTTTTTCTCTTTCTCTGTGGACCTTTTTTGTGACATTGGTATCAGATAACGATTACAAAGTAGGTACAACTAACTTGGAACGTTTTGGTCCAGTTGCTCCAAATAGGATCACAAAAGATTTATGATCTTAATCTAGTGCCTAATCGTGAGTTAGCTTTAAATGTAATTTCCGGAACGTGAATTTAGTTATAACAGGTCTCATTGTAACTTGATTTACTCCTACTAAACGGGAGTCCTTTTTCCTGCTATTTAAATTATTGAGGGAAAATACCCCCAAAAATGTTGGAAGTTGCCTTAATTTGTTTCATTACTTAAATTATATACGTCAAAATTCAAGTTTGTCTGCCGAAACTTGGTTTTGCAATATTAACTATAAATATTACTCGAATTCTTATTTCCACATTTTTGTTTATTTTTTCTAGCATGGTGTAGTGAGATGAATTTGCAATACCTAAAACTGAATAGTTCTTAAGTCAATTCATTAAGGCATTACGTGTGAAATAAATATTTGTTAATATTATTGGTCTTCTTTTGCCTTATCTCGACCCGCAAAATACCTTTGGATATGGAACTCTCTATTGTAATTGATACGACATTCGTAGCTACCCCCTTCAAGTTTCTTTCAGCGCTAGAGTTACGTGCCGCGACTTATACTACTAGGTCGGGTTCTGTTTTAAGTTAAACTGAATTTTTGTTATTCCACAATTCCAATGGTTAAAATAGTGATTAAAGAAACCTGACTGCATATAAAGTAAAGCAAGAGAAAACTCTGTCACTTCCGAAACTAAGACATAATGAAACTCCATATGTTAAAATCCATCAAGCTGTCTGCAGAAGCTGGTTACAGAGTGTGCCAAAGAAATATACATACATAATTATATAACTTCACGAAAAACGTCCTTCTGGTTTAGTCGGGTAAATATATGTTTACGTTATTTTTAACGTAGTAGAGCTATGCTGCAGTTATATTTGTAGCACGAACGGGTCGGCTCGATTGGGGAAGGACCACGCTCTCACAGAAACCCCAGGGAAATATAGCAGCTTAACGCTACTAAACCAAGCATTCTTGCAGAATTTGCCCTGGTTGACGATAGAAGCAGTACCAGACTTCTCACACCTTTGACGCTTCTGTCCGTAACAACATCCGTTCTTACATGTTACATGTTATTTGTTATAGTTCGTGCCAAATCGATTGAGAATAACGGACATTGACCCTTCGGTCGTTTAACCAGGGGCTACAAACCTTCAATATATAGGCACTTTTTATATTTAGTACTTTCTGATGATTTTTTAATTATTTTTTTATAATGATTGATATAATATATATTCATTAACTATTATTAAAAAGTTATGCAAAAGATCGCTGTAGAAGAAAAATCATTATTGTTACAAAGTACTTTATTCATTTAACAACAAAAAGTATTAATTTTTAACACATATAAGGATTCGAGTGATAACGACACCGAATAAGCACGTACTTATTCAAAAGATAAAACTTTATTTTTAATATTATATAAGAACTTTATTTTTATTTGGTGCATGCGGGCCGGCCCAA